AGGGCGACGAGGCCGCCGCGGCCGTCGCGACGACCGTCAAGGCCGAGCCCCGGGCCGAGGGCGACGCGCCCGCGGACGCGGACGCGCTCGTCTTCACGTCGACGACGGAGTTCACCGCGCGGCTCCACGCGCGCCTCGAGGAGCGCGCGGCGGAGAACGCCGAGGCGTCCGCCGAGGCCGCGGCGGACGCGCTCGCCGCCGCGGGCGGCGCCGCCGTCAAGGCGGAGGCGGGCGAGCTGCCGCCGGACGAGAGCGACTCCGACGCGATGAGCGACAGCGACGACGAGAGCCTCGCCGCCGCGGAGGCCGAGGACCGCGGCGACCTCATCGACTTCCTCCACAAGCAGCCCCTCGCGCGCGACGGCATGGCCGCGACCATGGGCCTCCTGCGCCAGACGGGCGACGTCCAGATCAAGCACGTCGAGCAGAAGGTCGGCCGCGCGCGCGACCAGACGATCTTCGAGGACGGCACCGAGGACGACCCGGCCGCGCCGCCGGACCCCTCGCTCCAGTTCAAGCCCATCAAGCTCGAGTACCGCGACGCCGACGGCCGCCTCCTCACGCGCAAGGAGGCCTTCCGCCAGATGTGCCACAAGTTCCACGGCAAGGGGCCGGGCAAGAAGAAGCAGGAGAAGTTCGCCGCGCGCGAGGCCGAGCGCCAGCGCTCCATCAAGATGTCCGCCGGCGCCGGCTCCCTCTCCATCCTCCAGCACGCCCAGGCGCGCACGGGCCAGGCCTTCGTCCCCATCAACAACCAGACCGCCTACGCCGCCATGGGCCAGCCCAAGGAGAAGTCCAAGTCCAAGAAGAAGAAGAAGAAGGCCAAGGGCCACTAGGCGCCGCGCGCCGGCTGTTTGATAAGGGCACGACTCGGAGGACGACGACGAGAAGGCGGCGTGCCTCGAGGCGAGCGCCGAGCGGCGGCGCGCCGCGCAAGGCCTCACGCCTGCGCGCCTGCAGGGGCGATGTTGACCAAGTTATTGAAGGGGATGCGCGCCCGACTGCGTCCGACCGGGGAGGGGAGGCAGGTCCGCGGAGGGACCCCCGCGGAGGGAACCAGACCGAGCAGGCGCGGGGCGGCAGCTCCTGAGTCGCCTCATCAGACGACACTCAACGGACTCGCCGTGGACCGGGGGAGGTTGCCGCAACTGCAGCGCAATCGAAATCCTGTGTCCTGCGCAATGGCAATGAGGATCGTCGCGCTGTGCACGGCGCTGTGCGTGGCGGAGGCGCTCGTGCCGCCCCATGGCTTCGCTGGCCAAGCAGCAGCGACCAAAGATTCGTTCGCGGACCGGTCGTTCGTCCTCAGGGCCGCCTCCGAGGACGATGAAGACCCGGAGCTCGCCGC